GAAGCAAACAAGGTGGCAATTCGAGAAAGAGCAAAACTTCTTGAATCAGTCCGGAAGGAAAAGGAGTTTGAAAGGAGATTATGCGAAGGATCAGAAATGATGCAGAAAATGCTGGACGACTTTCAAAGAGAGAGACTAGAAGCTGAGGATAAAGCTGATAAATTAGTCAATGATCTCCGCAAGGCTATTGAGCTTAAACGCTCCCTCCAACCTCAAGATCCACAATTGGAGGAAGTTAATGCTCAAAAAGAGGCTCTAGAACCTAAGACCAACCCTGAACCATCCAACCATCAGGTGCCAATTCTAGAAGATTCACCAAGTTCTACACCATCACAGAAACCCGAGAGCATAACAACTCTTGCTAGGGCTACTGTGGTGATGTTACCCGAATACCCTCCAAGCCAAGTCACAACCGGCACAGTCGTACGTGAGGTGGAACCAACTGAGGGACCTGACTCAGAGCCACCTATGCTTATTCAAGAATAGAAGGAGGAGGAAGTTTTGCCTATGGCAATAAACGACCATATCCTTAATTGTGTTGAAGACACACCTCCAGAGGAACCTGTTCTGGAGGAGATAGAGCCCACTACCTACCCCCAAGATTCCAACATTCAAGAGTCTAAGGAGGAATCTACAGACGAAGAAATACCTAGCACAGAGGAACCAATAACGTCTATAGATAATCATGCTTCATCAGAAGACTTAGACCAACCTTTCTTTGACTCCCTACTTGACGGGTGTGACTTTGTCTGCCCGAAGGATAGTTGGAGCCAAAAGAGTTGGGATGAACTTCTGGTAAGTGACACTGAAGACTCATCCATGGGGGAAAGCATGGTCGTAATCATCAAACCACAAATGGATAGTCAGCCAATTGAAGATAAGGAAGGCATCAATTTCGCAATCAAGGCTAATGATGTGGATCAACCTAGGAGACTTCCGCCACCACCCACCTATCTAGAGTCTCCTCCTTTTATCCTGTTGCCGCCAAGCCGCAGGGACGAGTCAAGGATCCTGGACCTTGACCGAGCAACAAATCAAACAAGGTGGCACCAGAAGAGAGTCAGAAGGGCCAAACTTTATGATTCTCGGATCGGAAAGTCACGAAAAAAGTGGGTGAGCGTCGAGCTACGGACGTTAAAGAAGCGCTTAACGGGAGGCAACCCGTCATTCAAATAACTAAAATAATTAAATAAATTAAATAGTTTTATTTGTTAGTTTTTGAGGTTTTGCTTGCCGCACCAGTTTTGGGGGCAAGAGTTATTTTGTTTGTTGTCTTTGCTTTTGCAGATGAGAGAATAATAGGGCACACCTTACAGTGGGAGCGAAGAAGAGGTCTCACCTGGGGAAAACACAAGGTTTCTGCAACCTTCGAGGCTTCTTGATCCAACAGTCCTGGTTGAAGTTGGCTACTGAGAGAATATTGACTTTATCAGTAAAGTGTCTTTTTCTCTACTATTTTGAACATGATTTGGATGCTTGATGATTTTTATTTTGGAATTTCACAACATGACTCTTAAAACCATTTTGAGAATATTTTATGCATTATTTCATATTTTCATGTTATGGTTATCTATTATTTCAATCTTCATCGTTGAATCTTGTAAGTATTGAGATAACTTAGTAATTTTGGAATTTCACATCATGACTCTTAAAACCCTTTTGAGAATATTTTATGAATTATTTCATATTTACATGTTATGGTCATCTATTATTTCAATCTTCATCTTTGAATTTTATAAGTATTGAGATAACTTAGTAATTGCATGTGGACATTTCAACCATTAACTCTAATTCTGAAACACTTTTAACCACGAGGGCGTGGTTCCGTTTAAGTGTGAGGAGGTAAGAGTTCGTGGTTGAAATGATCCTTTTAGGAATTGTTTTGTCTATATATTTGTAGGAAAAGATTTTATAAAATAGTCATCAATTTTATTTGTTTGATTAATTACTCTTTAGTTATCACCCGTGGAAATTGGAAATTTTTAAAAATTTTTGTCAAACTTTTATTTTTACTCTAACCTTTTGGGAATGTTTTCTAAAATGATTTGGGATAAATTCATAATTTACTAAGAGTTTTTAAGATCAATTAATTTTTAAGTGCTTTATTGAAAATCTTTTTGCTGATGCTCTTTTGAGTATTAGTTGTTTCTCAAAGAGAGTTATTTTATAAGTATAAGGGGTGATTTTTCAAAGCATACTTTGGTGAGACCGAGATTCTTGTTTTAGCCAAAAAGCAGTTGGTTCTAGGTCAACTGATGAGGCGTGGTGAGTATGCCGAAAAGCACGTGGTTCTATATTGCGTGATGAGGCTTTTTGAGTACTAGAGTCAAAAAGCATGCGGTTCTATGTCGTGTGATGAGACTTTCCAGAGTGAATATCCAAAAAGCTCGTGGTTCTATGTCACGGGATGAGGTTATAAATTTTTCTCGTGTCAACATGACAAAGTTATGCCAAAGAAAATTAAACTCTTACACTTTGACAAATACTTTTGCAAGAACATGTTTTCCAATTTAGCCATTAAAAAATTATTTGATCTTTAAAGTACTCTTACAAATGTAGTTATCCCAAAGAAAGTTTGGAAAATTTTGGTTGTTTAGGTTGGTGTAAAAATATTGGTTTGACAAAATTCTTTTACATTTCTAACAATATAGGTGAGAATCTAAGGGTTCATTTATTCTTAACAAAAAGGTTGATGACTATCTTATTTCTTCTTTCCTTCATAATATGTAGCTTAAACCTTCCCTCTGCAATTATTAATTTGCCTTTACACTTGTAATTATTCAATTCTTTGCTTGAGGGCAAGCAACGTTTAAGTGTGAGGAATTTGATAAGTCCTTTTCGTTCTTATCATTTACATCATATTCTAAACGTTATTGCACGTAAATAGTATTTAATCATCTCATAAAATGTGATTTTAATGGATAAAACTCTCATTTTCGTTCTAAGAGTCATAAAATGGGATTCCACGTGAAATCATCATAAATCATACATTTATGTTCAAATACTTGAGAAAAAGGGAATAAATCATCAAAGGATCAAGATTCGGGCTTAAACGAGCTTCCGGGAGGTCAAAAACAGTGTTTGGGGCCAAAACGGAGCGAAATTGGGCCAAAATCATGAACCAGCCGCGAAGCCCAACGGACCAAGGCCTCCAGACGTCCAACTTGGACGCTTGGCCAAGTTGGACGCTTGAAGTTGGGCGCCTGGGCTAGATTGCAATCCAAGAAAGACACGTGGCAAAATCTGGTTGGCCGGAATAGCTCAGGCGTCCCGATCTGGATGCTTGGACTTGGACGCTTTGACTTGGACGCCTTGGATCCATTCCTATAAATACAGCTCGATCCCTCTCATTTTCATCATCCAACGTCATCCCAACTTCGGGATTTACTCTTCCAATCTCCATTATAGTTTGTAGTATAGTTGTAGTAGTTAGTTTTGAAGTATTTTCAGAGGTCTTCACTCCAGATCTGTTCTGTTCCGCTCTTACGGAGGTTGTAAGTTTTCTCTATTTAATAAAATGATGTTTTAATCCATGTTTGCATAGTATGAGTTAGGGCCCGGATGTCTGGGTCCGGACTAGTTTGGTTGTTTATTTTTGATGTTAAATTAATGTTGGAATGGTTAATCTATTGTTCTTGCCTTACCTAGTTAATTAAACTCGAAAGATTTAATTGGCCATTTATTGAGAAAATATTGTACGCCAAAAGGCTATGATATTCAAGTACAACGGATTAAGTACAAATCTAGAAATGGATGAGTAGTAATAGAAATATTATTATTCTAATTGTTAATTTAATATGATAAAATAAATCCAAATGATGTCCAGACCCTAGGTCCAGATCTATACTTATACTATGTAAACTTAATTTATTATTTTTACTCTGCTCCTTTTATAATCGTTTCGAGAAGACTTTCATAAACCAATCCTAATCTTCGCCTA